CTGGTGGAGAGGTCAGGCCCGTACCCTTAGGCGGACGAGCCATTTGTAGAGGCGATATTTATCGCTAGGATTCGCGTCGGGTGACTGCGGATTCATAGTTATGTCATGCTTCTCGAGGGTTTGTCATGGCAGATGTCCTCGTTAAAGGACTTAGTTGTGGACCCATCGCTACGGGTTAACTTAAAGGGGTTAAACCGGACGAGGGACATGAGGGGTTTTATACTAATTCAGCCCCTTCGATGAAGGTAAAAGCTTACGTCTAATTGTGCTTGGTATTGCTGGGGTTTCGATGACCAGGAAGAATCCGCTTTGCCTGGTTCTCGAGTTGTTGTGTGTTGTCCCTAAACCGCTGCCGGGTCGTCCCTTTATATACACAGGTTGACGCCCGCCGGTTTACAGAGTCCCGAAGCCGGATCATAAACATGTCCGGCTCGGTCTCTATCCTTCCCATCTTACAATACAAGTTACATGAGAAAGTCAGTTTACATCTACATGCCTTAATTCGCCTTTGGGCCTTGGGCCTTCGTAAAGCGCCTTCATCCTTACGTCTTCATGGGCTTCTTGATCTTCTTAGAGTTAATCCGGCTATTCCTGGCCGGTTTACGCCCAGTAGTAATATCCCCAACATTAGGCCCCAGATTGATTTGAACTTGTTCATGTCAATCTTCAACACTTCAAAAAATTCTTCCCTTGCATCTTCACCTTGATCTTGTAAACCGCCGTGACGTCATACTCCAGGATCATGTTAAATCGCCATGACATCATCTTGTTATTTAAAAATGATACATCTCACCTTCAGTTAATGAGCCTCCGACAATCAAGGCGACCGCTCCTGTTAGGTATCCAATGTTCCGGCCCCTTGATTCTCCCGCATGTTACCTCCCCACTTTACCTTATAAATAAGGCCACGGGTCATTTCCTTTTTTCTCTCCGTCCCTTCGCTTCTTCTTCCTCCTCGCGACGCCTCTGCACCCGAGTGTCGCCGCCGTTGCCGAGCTTCGCTTCCGCCTCTCCGTTGGTCGCTGCATCAACCTGGTTGCACCAGAGAGCCGCGGCGTACCTCCGCTACTTCAACAGCCGCTGTAAGTCCTCCCCTTTCCTCCTTTGTAGATCTACCTAGGGTTTCATTGTTCATCGAGGTTCATCGAAGCTCCATCACTATTCTTCCCTGTTCCCCCTTAGTCCATGGATAAACACCTCAAGTTTGATGTATTCTGTGTAATATCTACAACATTCCTTATCTTCTGTTATCACAATAAACCCTTATGCACATAAAAACTGATCTAGACCTTTGTGAACTGCTTCGGGACCAACCTTTTTAGGTCTAAATCTTTTTACTTTTCCTGTCTTATGATAGATCCAAAATTTCCATGTAATCTTGTGAAACCTGTTTTACCTTATTTAGTCGTTCTTGCTTTAGATCTGTATCATCCGCATCACATAGTTGATTTACCTTTGTAGAAAGCAAGCTATCACATACCATTAGTCCCCTTGTAAACCGGTAATCCCTTTATCTCTGTTGCTATACTCTTGTTTAACAGCATGTGTATACCTCTGTTTCTGTTTACCGCTTTTTCATTCATAATTGGATCAGCCTCCGGTTCACCAAATTTACATACTTGGATTCCTTCGTCCTGTTGCACCTTATGCATTACCATGACTAAATTGTAAACCGGCATTCCATTCCAGCTTTTCACTTGCAATGGCCAAGCAATTTTATTCCTGCAACTGGGCTCCCTCCCATGTTACTGAGGAGAAACTGAATGGTATTGTTAAGATCGGCACCTTACCAAAGAAGAATGAGATCCGTTGGCGAGTTCCTGGGCCGGAAAATCCTCCCACCCCTAAGCAGGGTGAGGTAGTGGTATTTGTTGATCACATAGGCCGTGGTTTCAAACCGCCCGGGTCAAAGTTTTTCTGGGATGTGCTTGCCAGTTTTCAGCTCCACCCTTAAGATATTGGACCCAACTCGGTATCCAATATATGCAACTTCCAAGTCTTCTGTGAAGTGTACTGACAAGAAGAGCCAACAGTTGAGTTGTTCCGAGACTTCTTTCATCTGAACCGGCGTACTGAATTCGTAGATGGTCCCAATACTGAACTTGGTGGCGTCTCCATTCAGAAAAGGAAAGAAGTTGAATTTCCTCATGCTAAGCTGCAAAATCACCCCAAAGAATGGAACCAAACCTGGTTCTATTGTAAAGACACCTCCCCTGAAGATGAGAACCCTGTGTTGGGTTACCGTGCTCACCGGCTCGCCAATACTCATCCACTGCCGCAACGTCTAAGTGCCCAGGAACGCGCCTCATATGCCCCTCAACTCGCCAAGCTCCGAGCCTTTATGGCCAACGGTTTATCAGGTGTAGACTTTGTTCGTTGCTAGATATCCTGGAGCATCCTGCCATTAAGTCTCCGCACCGGTTTAATGTGCGAGTATACTGGCAACATAGAAGACTCCCAACGCCATATCAACATTCAGCTAACAGACGAAGAAGTAACAGAGTCTGTCAAAAAGATATTGAATGAATCGGAACCTATCTGTCGCCAAACCGGATTAAACCCCTTTTATACGAAAAACAAACCGCCTGCTATAAGTATTGTCTTCCACTTTACACTTGATATACTTGTACTGTACAAGCTTTGAATATCCTTTGCCCCTCTTTTAAATAGGGTGATGATCCGTTCTGGAAAAGGAAGCCTCAGGAGAAAGCATCAAAGCCTTCCCGTCCTAAAACAAAACCCGTCAAGAAAACCTCAAAGCGGAAGGCAGCTGAGCGCATCAGTATGGAACTGGATGACGACCCGGATGAACCGGAAGTTGAGGTAGAACTTGATTCACTTTTCATGCATCTAATTGACAATGATACTTATCAGGAGGACGTTGAGGGCAGCCAAGCTGACGATGTAGAGGTAATTATCCTTTCCTCCGG